AGCAAAGGTATAGAAAATATACAAGTGTGTTCACTAATAAGAAGAGAGAAATTGGTATAACCTTTTTTGAAAGTGTCAATCCAGTAATTTCACTTCTAGATATAACTGAACACACATAATACTACACAATAACTCTTAAACGATAATATTCAGAACAATCTTACAATAGTCAGAAACTACAAAGAGCCAAATATTCAGGAATAGGAAAATAATTAACTATATATCTGTACAATAAAAGACTTTGAGCTGTGTGTGGTGGCACATGCCTGTAATCCTAGCAACTCTGGAGGCTGAAGCAAGAGGATCACCAAGTGTGAGGCCAGCTTCAGCAACTCAGCAAGACTCTATATCAAAATAAAATAAAAAACAACTGGGGATTATACTCAGTGCCCCTGGCTAGGTTCTTCAGTACTTACCACACCAAAAAAAAGAAAGAAGTGAAGAAAGAAAAAGAAGAGTAGTAGTCATTAAAGTCCATTTTTCAGGAAACTTACTGCCACAATGAATGTGGATGACCTAATGTTATAAGAAAAAAAAATTATAAAATGTAGGGGGGGGCTAGAGATGTAAGTCAGTGGTAGAGTGCTGAATCTGATCCCCAGCATGAAAAAGAAGAAAAAAGCCCTTGTCCAGAGGAACATTTTCTTTTTTGTGCTTTCTTCTGTTTTAAAATACAAATTTCTGTTGTCTTTATAATTCAGAGATAAAATGCTTTTAAAAAGACAAGGAGTTGCACTATGAAATATACATAGAAATTGGACATTGGTGGCACATGCCTTAATCCCAGCTACTTGGGAGGCTAAGGCAGGATTGAAAGTTTGGGGCAGCCTCGTCTACTTAGGGAGACCCTATCTCAAATTAAAAAAAAATAAAAAGGGCTGGGTTTGTGGCAAACTGGTAGAATACTCCTGCATTAAATCCCCAGTACTGCAAAATAAATAAGCAAATAAATAAACTATTTCTATTATTAAATTCATATGGACACCCAAGGAGATCTATCTATCCCTATTAAATACCAGAATAATGGGTTCTTATGGGAGCAGGAAGGCAGGGACAGGAGTGGGGATGGGGTGAGTCCTAGTGGAAATCAGTACCATCCAATGACCTGTCACATCCAAGTTCAAAACCTACATAGTCTGAACAATGCCAAGCACTAAAATGTAGCAGTATCTCTGACCTCATGGAGTTTGTAATCTTAACAAAAGAAATCAGATTTTAAACAATTAAGAAAAAAAATCATTTAATAGTAATTTCAATACAAATTATTGAAGTGGTAGGGGATAACAGGTGAACACACTTAGAAAAAGGATCTAGCCTAGCCAGAAAAGACTGCTCATGCTTTATCAAAATTGGTAAGATTTTGCCAGGTATAGTGGTGTATGCCTGTAATCCCAGTGGCTCCGGAGGCTAAGACAGGAAGATTGTGAGTTCAAAGCCAGCCTCAGTAACTTAGAGAAGCCCTAAGCAATTCAGTGAGACCTTGTCTCTAAATAAAATATAAAAAGGTCTGGGGATATGGCTCAGTGGTTAAGTGCCCTTGGGTTCGAACTCTAATGCCAAAAAAAAAAAAGGTAAGATTTCTGTAATGTTACTTCAAACCTGACATCTATTCAGGTGTTTGAAAAGTTCCAGTATATATAGCAGGTCCTCAATATTTTTAAAGGAATGAGTAAACGAACAAATAAACAAAAATTGCCCCAGTTTGAAAACTGAAAGTTACTGTTAGGTAAGGTTAACCTGTTTTAAGTCTGTCCTTTAGCCATAAAGGCTCAAAGCAAGAAGAGAAACACCTACCCTTAAATATGAGTTTCTGAAAAGCCAGTGGAACCCCTGTGGCTTCTTCCACAACCTGGGCCAGGTCTTGGACAATTGGTTCATTGCTGCCTTGCTGTGGGGTAACATGAAGGTCATACTTCTCATTGTCTAGAGAGAAAAAAAAGCATTTGATGAAAATAACTGCTTCACAGAAAACAATAAAGGATGAGACTTTATTACATTTATTTTTACCCGGCATTCAAGGGCTATTCTCAAATTCTATCCAATTCAAAGTGCCTGCTGACATCTGCCCAGCTTTCCTCTAGTGACCTGCTCAAGGATTTTTGTTTCCTCCACCATAAGAATGAATAATTGTAATGAGACCTAACATTTTTTTAAATAAATTTTTTTAGTTGTTGATTGACCTTTATTTATTTACTTATATATGGGTGCTGAGAATCAAACCAGTGCCTCACACATGCTAGGCAAGCACTCTACCAACTGAGGCATGACCCCAGCCTGAGACCTAACATTTAAGCACTTAATAGTAGAAGTTGGGCTGGGATTGTGGCTCAGAGATAGAGCACTTGCCTAGTATGCATGGGGCCCTGGGTTCGATCCTCAGCACCACATAAAAATAAATGAATGGAATAAAGGTATTGTGTCCAACTATAACTAAAAAGATAAATATTAAAAAAAAAAAAGAGTAGAGGCTGGGGGCTGGGGTTGTGGCTCAGCGGTAGAGCACATGCCTCGCACATGTGAGGCACCACATAAAAATAAATAAAAGTATGTGTCCATCTACAACTAAATACACACACACAGAGTAGAACTGTACTAGACTCATTTCATTCATTATCTTATTTAACCCTCAGAACGATCCCATGAAGTAGGTACTATCATTCCCTATTTCATAGATAAACAAATTGACCTCAGTCCTAATTAATTAAGAATCCTATGAGTTGGCATGGTGGAACACGCCTGTGATCCTAGAGACTTGGGAGACTGAGGCAGGAGGATCATAAATTCAAGGCCAGTCTCAGCAATTTAGTGAGACCCTAAGCAACTTAGTGAGACTTTGTCTGAAAATAAAAAAATTAAAAGAGACTGGGGATGTCATTAAGCAGTAAAGCACCCCTCAGTTCAATCCCCATACCAAAAAAAAGACTTCTCTATGAAGGAATTTAGCTAGTAGGAGAGCTCTTGTCTAGCATGTGCAAGGCCCTGAGGCCCTGGGTTCAATCAATAGCCTCAACACACACACACACACATACTGGAAACTTTCTTATGGAGACTGAATAGGGGAAGGGGTGTCAGAATTTGGCCTCAGATCTATCTGATTCCAAAGTTCACACTTCTCATCAGAAGCTATCTGCCTCCCATCGTCTGACTGCCCTGAACTCTGAATTGTACTGTCTTGTCTCTCTTGCTATAATGGGCTAGGGACTGTTTTTCTCCAAGTCTCTCTCAATGGGCACACCTAGGTACACCATAATTGGTGCTCAGTAAAGACGAATGAATGAATATAGTCAAATAGAAGAGATTAAAAAAAATAAAATAAAACAAAAACAAGCCAGGCCTGGTGGGGCAAGCAGGAGGATCTTGAGTTCAAAGCCAGCCTCAGCAAAAGCGAAGCACTAAGCAACTCAGTGAGACCCTGTCTCTAAATAAAATACAAAATAGGGCTGGGGATGTGGCTCAGTGATTAAGTGCCCCGAGATCAATCCCTGGTACCTAAAACAAAACAAAATATGGATGCCAATTCTTCTCTAGGTAGTGGAGAGACAGCAGGTAGCCTGTGTCCAGTGCCTTGAACTGGCCTCAGATCCATCTGATTCCTCAGATTCATCTTATGCCAAGACTTGAACTCTCCCAACGGCTCCATAAAATGGGATTAGTGACCAGGGGCAGGGGTTACCAATGCTACAGAGAAAAAAACAGATGCCTTAAAAGGAGACATCTATTTCAGTGTCACTCAAAATTGCAGGATCTAGAATCCTGGCTTCCAGATTTGAAGAGTAGGATCTCCCCTAGCTGGTTCTGAAAAACACCTCATCTACTCAGCTCTCCAGTGTACAGACATTGTTTAGTCAGCTTCAACGAGTGCCCAAAGTTAATGCTTGGACCCATGGCCCACTTAAACAGCGGGCACGCAGCATCCAACACAGAGAAGGCACTCAATAAATAATGAACAGCTCGCCACGACGAAGTTCATAGTCATCACACACGTAGGTGTCCAGACGCACAACAGTCAGACATAATGTGGCTCAACACAAGTCTTACAAAAAAACCCACAATAACTGCGCAAGCAAACAACTAAGGCCAAGGTGTGCGAACACGTTCCAACATCCACGATTCAACAAATAGAGAAAAAATACACCTGTCACAAGGAAGGTGTGATGACACAAGATCCAGACAAAAGCCAGCCCATGGACACAGCTAAGAATCCACACTTCCGGACGCCGGACAAACCTAAGGACATACACTTCCGGAGACACATGGCCAAATCCACAGACCCCATGGGGCCTTCCGAGTCCTGCACTGAGCCCATCCAGCCGCCAGTCACTTACTGTGGGTGATGGTCACGCAGAGCTCGGCTGCCGCCATTTCCTGGGTTTGGGTCACCTCTCCAGTCGGTGCCACCTCTTCCGCCCGGGTCTCCTCCTTGGCCCGGGGCGCTTCCTCGGCCTGGGTCACCTTCTCGCTCTGCGTCGAGCGGGAACGAACCTTCTTCACCCGCGGCCTGCGAGCGCCGGCGGCGGCGGCGCCCCTGGTGGATCGGTCATGTCCGCTGGCTGCACTCCGGACAGATGGACGCTGAGAGCGAGGCAGGCCGCGCGCGGCCTGGGACTCCGACTGGCGCGGCTCCCCGCCCGGCCGAGGGGCGCGCCGCCGGGGTCCCAGCCGCTCCCGGTCGCCTCGCGGTCTCCTTGAGCCGCCCCGTTCCGCCAGGCCCGCGCCAGTTGACCGCCCAGCGGCGGGAGCTGAACGCCGCGTCTTGCAACCTTACCGGGTTACTTCCTGGCCACGCCCCGCTCCTGCCCCACCCTATGTATTAAAGCCTCCTCTAGGCCCCACCCACTCAACCAAGGCCCCGCCTCGCTCACCTGAAGTCCCGCCCACTTCCTCCACTGAGGCCCCTCCTCCTGCAGTTTCCTCCCCACCCCTTCCAAAGCTCTGAATTCCTCTCGGGGAAGGCGGAGCTGAAAACTCGGAAAAAGGGTTAGGAACACTGCGCTTGCGCATGGAAGAACCGGAAGTCGAAGCGGGGCTGACTTCGCTTCCGTTTTTGATTTTCTTCTAGTGTTTGGGTTCTTCGCGGCCGCCCAAGATGAACCGATTCTTCGGGAAAGCGAAACCCAAGGCTCCGCCGCCCAGCCTGACCGACTGCATTGGCACGGTGGGCATCTGATCATGTATAAGTAGTCTTAGGACCTTTGACATTCCCTACCCCTCCCATCCCTGCTCCTGGCTCCTACTCCACCCCATTACCGAAGCCGGGCCCATTACACCTCGGCCCTCTCCATACCTACATCGTCCTTTCATCCTTTTTTCCCAAGTCTTTCCTCTCACTCCACAAACCAGGAACTCTGTAATCCCATCACTGTCTCGCTCTTCCTGCTCTCAACCCATCCTGATGCCATTGCCCGGTCCACTTGCTCTCCCCTTGGTTCCTTCACCCCAACCTGCCTTAGGCCCATACACCCTTTTCACCTCGTCCAGACCGATATTTTACCCCTTTTCCATCCCTTCTCATGACAGGGGTCTTTTCTCTGTTGATAAATTAACATTGCTGGACCTCAGTAATACAAAAATTCAGAACCCTGACTCCTCAGATTAGGCCATCATTTCTGACCTAGTGGGTGGCATTAGTTTAGTCTTAGCTGGTGTTTAATGGGCATTGGCTTATTTCATGCACCTCCTTGTTGAACCCCCAGCCTGACTAGTCTATGATTCCAGGGAAATTTCAATTCAGCCCAGTGATTCTCAAATTGTTTTTCTACCCCAATACACTTCAGGGGGGGACCTGGAATATCAGAATAGAGGGGATTGGAGTATCTTATAAAAGCGCCCCGCAGGGTTTCCAACTGGGAATCATACCCTGCCCAGTGAACTACTGTTTTCCACCCCTCACCATATGCTTCCCTTTGTTTTTCTTTCTCCACTTTCCTCCTCCTGCCCCTTCCTGTGTAAGTATACTGCAATAACTACCACTTCATTTTATATATTCCTCCAAGGTGGACAGCAGAGCAGAATCCATTGACAAGAAGATTTCCCGATTGGATGCTGAGCTAGTGAAGTATAAGGATCAAATAAAAAAGATGAGAGAGGGTCCTGCAAAGGTAAGGTAGTTGGCAACTGCCACATAAGATACTGTGACAGCCTAATTTGAGCACCTGTAGAAATAACATCTGGTTGTAGGGGCTGTTGAAGGATACAAAAAGATGCTTAGAGTCTGGTAAATAGAAAACACATGTGAAAGTATGTTCTTCAAGGAGATTTTGTGGATAGATATGAGAGGGAGGCTAGCATTTGATCTAGAGGAGAGTTGTTGATTATATGTCCAGAAGCATGTAAGTAGGAATTCACATATTCCACTGATCTATGCTGAGAAACAGTGAGTTGCTAGGTTGGTCAGGGTAAGTAGGAATAATAATCTGGTTAAGGAGTGGCATGCTGGGAAAAAGAGGACAGAACTTGGCATGTGGGACCAATGTTCTAATACTATCACTATTACTACCTGCTGTGACCTTGATAAAGTCACTTGTTTTCTTGTGTTAGTAGGAACATAGAATATTGTGTTTAAAAGAATACACTATGGATATAGAACTATCTGGGTTTTCTAGTTCTATAACTTATTAATTAGGTAAACCAGGGCATCACTGAACTTCAGTTTTGCTATTGTAAATGGGGATAATGATACTTTATTGTATGAGAATTAAATGAGATGATTCATAAGACCTGTACAGTACTATATCTAGAACTTAGTAGCACTTAATACATGTTAGTTATTATCTTCCATGAGGTAATATTTGTTTTTCCTTCCTCATTGGAGGAGACAAATAAATTGATAACATGGAACAGTATAGAAAGGGAAGGCTTTTCCCAGTCACCTTAAATAATGGTGTAGACTGAAAAATAGAAGTAGGAAAGCTCGTCTACACTTCAGGAGGTGAAAGCCCAAACCAGGTAGGTAGTCATGAGAATAATGTAAAATGAGTCAGTTTGAGAGTGAGTCTGAAAATCAGTAACACTGATGACTCTCTGAGGAGACAACAGAGAGAGGAAAGATAAGGTTGATTAAAGTTTCTCAATCTCGAGAAGAGAGAGGTTGGTGGCTCTCTTTCTTTCTTTCTTTTTTTTTTTTTTTTTTGTACTGGAGACTGAACCCAGGAGCTTTACCTCTGAGCTACGTCCCTAACCCTTTTTATTTTTTATTTTGAGATAGGCTTTGGTAGAGTTGCTTATGGCCTTGCTAAATTGCTGAGGTTGGCCTCAAACTTGCCATTCTCCTGCCTTAGCCTCCCAAGTTGCTGGGATCACAGGCATTTACCACTGTGCCTAGGATCACAGGCATGTACTACTATTAGTTATTTCCAACATAAGATTGAAGAGTTTGGGCATGTTCCATTTAATTTGATAGCAGGATATTCAAGTGGGGAATCTTCCTAAGGCAACTGGATATACAGAATGGGGCTGGTAATGTAGCTCAGTGGTAGAGCTTTTGCCTAGCATGCACCAGGCCCTGGGTTCAATCCCTAGTACTGCCCCCCCCCCGCCCCAATAAAAAAGGATGCTGTTCAAATTGGAGGTTGAGTTAATATATATTAGGGAAAGAGAAAGTAGTTCAGGATATAGAGATGTGGAATGCAAAGACTTGGAGAGTGAACAATATTAGTGCTTGGGAGAAGTACAAAATTTAGGAGCCGGTATGTTTTGGTGCTAGAGATCAACCCAGGGCCTCAAGCAAGCTAGGCAAGCAGTCCATCACTGAGATACAATTCTTGGAGATTTTTTTTTGCCATGTGTATGTTTTCCACTTTGTTTTTATTAAATCTGTTTTTCTCCTTAGAATATGGTCAAGCAGAAAGCCTTGCGGGTTTTAAAGCAAAAGCGGATGTAAGTTATGTACATAATCTCCTACTCTTTAGCAGGTTTAATCAAAATGGTTTTCTATTCCTTCAGGTTTCATACCATTTTTCAAGGCATTCTTTATTTAATTACAAGCTTTATTGACATATAATTAAATATGGTTAGCTTGGGTTTCCCCTTTACTTATTCAGCAACATCTGTTGTAAAGTGGTCTAAATAAAACTTTTTGTTATGATAGAGAAGTTCCATATCTGTGTGTCCAGTTCAGTAATTATTAGTCTCGTGTGGCTGTGGGCACTTGAAATATGACTAGGCTAGTATGACTCAGGAACTGAATTTTTAATTTTATTTAATTTTAATACTTTAAGTAGCTGTATGTGGCTAATGACTATTAATTTGGACTGACCAGACCTGTAGTTTTAAGTTCTACCATTATTTAGTTAGGATGCCTTTTTTTGGTTTTGTTTGTTTATAAAGATAGGAATGCTGACTATTTGTTTCCTCTCACCAAAATAGTTTGAAAAGTCTTTATTTTTTTGTTTTAAGTGACTGTGTCACAGAATTTGAGCAGAAGCCAAGTAGTATCTTTGGTTTTTTACTATGGACTGTTCAGCTGATGAAATTGTTTGCAGAGTTGTAGATATCAGACATAATCAGCTAACAGGGAACCAGAAAATTTTTTTGATATCTTTTATTCCAATTTTTGTTTGTTTGGTACTGGGACTTGAACTCAGGGGCATTTTAAGACAGGGTCTAACTAAATTGCTAAGGTTGGCCTCCAACTTGGGATCCTCTCGCTTCAGCCTCCGAAATCACTGGGATTCCAGGCATGAGCCACCATGCCTGCAATTTTAAAGTGACATATCACACATTAGATGCCATCTTCTTCCTTTTAGATTACATTTGAAAGGAAAACTATAATGCAAGTTTTGTTTTTTGTTATAAAAGGAATGTGTTCATTTAGAAACTTGGAAAATACATAACATGAGCAGAAGAAAGAATATTTACTTAGATTTCTATTAATGAAAATAATAGAATGCTAATAATGTCTTCTAGTCTCTCTTTTGTATACGTAGCATGTGTGCATATAATTTTTTAGAGGAAAACTGAAACTATGTGGGATTATATAAGTCATCCATTTCTACTTAATGTTATATTTCAGGCATTTCCCTGTCCTTTTAAACTTTATATACGCGCGCGTGCACGCTCGCGTGTGTGTGTGTGTGTGTGTGTGTGTGTCTATGTATTTTTTTTTTTTCCCCATCCTGGAAATTGAATTCAGGGGCATTTTGACCATTTCTTCCCTTGTCCTTTTTTTAAAATTTTGAGACAGGGTCTTACTAAGTTGCTGAGGCTGGCCTCAAACTTAATCCTCCTGCCTTAGCTCCTCAGTTGCTTGAATTATGGGTGTGCACCACCATGCTCAGGGGATGAAACTTAATAATAGAGTCATACTCTTCTTCCTTTTGCCTGTCCCATGAATTAACAAATTTCCTTCTGATTGGATAGTTACAAATACTGTATAAAGACCATAGTGACATAAGTCTTTGAGGTGGTATCAGTTTGATATAAAACTTTATTTTAATGAAATATCTTAAACATCAGATATTAAGTTAGTTGGATAACCTAATTATGGGTACAAGATTAATAAAATATCCTCAAGGAATTTAGTCTATTGGGAAAACATTTAGCTACATGTATGAAGAACCTCAAAAATAGGCTTGCCCTTTGCTCTAAGAGATCTACTTCTGAGAATTTATCATAGGAAAATTTTTTTTGGTGCCAGGGGTTGAATCCAGGGGTGCTAGACCACTGAGTCACATCCCCAATCCTTTTATTGTTTTATTTTAAGACAAGGTCTTGTTCAGTTGCCTAGAACCTCACTAAGTTGCTGAAACTGGCTTTGAACTTGCAATTTTCCTGCCTCACCCTTCCCAAGTCATTGGAATGATCACACCCAACTCATAGGAAATAATATGAACACACATTTTAAGATATATAGTAACACTGGATAAAGCAAATGCTATCATGTTAAATAGAAAATAGTGTTATAACTAAAATGCATGCAAAAAGAAATTACTGGAGGGATCTGTTTTTTTAATAGTCCTATTTTTTTTCAATATGTATTATAAATTAGGTAAAAACATTACCAGCACATCAAACCACTAATTTACAATAATAATATAAATTTTCTCTCTTAAAATGTTAAGGACATATCTCTGGCATACACAAAATATCTATTACATAGAAAATTAAATAAACATGTGCACACACATCAAACAGCTTAGAAATAGGGCATTATGAATAACTATTTGTGCCCCTGTATATCTTAGAGATCAATTTTTAAGCATTTTGATCCCACCAAATCTTTTCTTTTAAGATCATAGTGTTAGGAATACTTTCTTCCTGAGAATTTCTATCTGACTCATTTTTTACGTTTCTCAATTGACTCTAAAAAAAGGTATGAGCAACAGCGGGACAACCTCGCCCAACAGTCCTTTAACATGGAACAAGCCAATTACACCATCCAGTCACTGAAGGATACCAAAACTACGGTAATCCCAAGTCACCTTTTTTGGTGTGATTTTATTGTTTTACTCTTAAGCTCTTTTCCCTGTTTATGTTTTGTTTCTCATAGTTTTTTAAAGATAGTTAAGACACTGGGTTTTCTTCTACTTTTTTTTTTTTTAGGTTGACGCTATGAAACTGGGAGTAAAGGAAATGAAGAAGGCATACAAGGAAGTGAAAATTGACCAGATTGAGGTGAGATATATACTAGTTTCTGAAAGAATGTGTAGTAGTTTTTGAAAGGATCCAGATGAAAGCTTATGTGATGGGCATAGGACAGAAAAGGGATTGAAATGGATTGTAATCTTAGGTCTGCCATTTCCTAATAGAATAACTTAAGGAAAAGATACCAAGTTTTTGGTTTCCTTATTATTACAAATATTCTAATACTACATACAGTTACTATGCAGGTGAAATAATTGAGAAAGTATATCTACACACACAATGCCTGGTTCATAATAAGCATCCAGTAGTTACTTACAACTCAAATAGTTTTAGTTTGTTTCTTCAGTTGTGAAGTTGCAACATTACTGCCTATGTCCCAGTATTGTCATAAAGGTTAAATGAATATATGTGTATAAAGTGCTGAATACAATTTCTGGAATAGATTTGTTTTCCTTTGCAGTAAGTCTCTTCACATTTTAATAAGTCATTAGTTCCTTAATGTGAACATTTCTTTTTGGGATTAGGTTTTGTGCCCTCAAGCCTGGCTGCACTCAACTGTCAAGTGAACAGCCCAGATGGCAAGATAGATAGCAGAGGGAGGGAGTGGTGACTTAAGGGAAGAAAGAGGCTTTTTTTCTGCATGTGTAATAGTGTTCTTTACCTTTACCTTTTGACCAGAATGTCTTTTCCCCTTCTGGCAGGGACTTGATTTTGTTCACTATTGTATCTGCAGTGTCTAGAACAATGTTTGGCCATAGTTGGAGCCCAGAAAGTATTTGATGGTAGATGAGTGGATGAATAGGAGTCTGTTAAAGGAGAAGCAGCATTACTGCCCCATTCTAACAGTGTTTGAGTGAGCAGTTACTATGTCCTAGGCATTTTACTGCCTCCACATAGGTATTCTCTGGCAGTTCCAGTCTTTCAGAGTGAAAGCATTCCTCCTCTGTCTTACTTCTTTCCAGTACCCTTTAGACTGCCCTTAACCGTTTCAAACGGTCCACAAGTTTCTACTTACATGAAGTTCAGCTTCATGATATTTTTCTAGAAATTCACTGAGAAAATGTTCTGTAAATGCTTGTCTTATTTGTATAATACCATTTGGTAACAGAATATAAAATGCTATTTTATTTTCTACTTTTAGGGCTTCTTGTTTTTTTTTTTTTTTTTTTTTTTTTTTAGAGAGAGAATTTTTTTTTTTTTTTTTAATATTTATTTTTTAGTTCTCGGCGGACACAACATCTTTGTTTGTATGTGGTGCTGAGGATCGAACCTGGGCCGCACGCATGCCAGGCGAGCGCCCTACCGCTGAGCCACATCCCCAGCCCGGGCTTCTTGTTTTAATTAGAACTATTTAATATGGCCAGACATGATGGTGCATGGTGGTGCACACCTGTAATTCCAGCAACTTGGGAGGCTAAGGCAGGAGGATTGCAATTCAAGGCCAGCCCCAGTAACTTAGTGAGAGCCTAAGCAACTTAGCAAGACTCTGTCTCAAAATTAAAGAAATAAAAAATAAAAGATGTAACTCAGTGGTAAAGCACCCCTGGGTTAAAATAAATAAATAAATAAATAACTATTTAATAGGAACAAAAGAGAAACTTTGGTCAGTCTGTTTTTTTCTGTGTCTCTCCATCTCTCATCTGTGGTTGTCTATCTGTCTCCCTCACCTAATTATCCTTTTTCTGTCCCCTTATAGATTGCCAGCATGACTAGTAAAGAGCTTAGCTTGGGAGTATATGTATATGTGTCTTTTGACAAGGCTATATATTTTGAATTTCTTTGATTTATTTTTCCAAATATTTTACTTGTAAAACATTTTCATTGTTCAGTTGCTCTCATTTTTTATTTTGCCTTGCAGAGGAAGGAGTTGTTTTTTTTAATCCCTTTCACATTTTAGTTTCTATACATCAGTGCATCAAAGTTCTTTATAGTTTAGTGCTATCAATTTTTTTTTTTTAAATTTTGTACCAGGGTTGAACCCAGAAGCATTTAACCACTGAGCCACATCTCCACCCCTTTTTAATTTTTTTTAATTTTGCGACAAGTTCTTTTTAAGGTACTGAGGGCCATGCTAAGTTGCTGAGGCTGGCTTTGAACTTCTGTGATCTTCCTGCCTCAGCCTCCCAAGCCACTGGGAGTGCACCACCATACCTGGCTGTGTGATGGGTTTTTCCCCATGTCTATCCTAGAGTCTATTGCTAAAAATCATAAATTATTTGGAGGGACTTGTCTTGACATGTATAATGTTAAAACATGATTTGATTAGCTTATTCTGATAGTATTTTCATTCCTATTTATTTATTTTTTGGTTCTGGGAATTTAACACAGGGGTACTTTGCCATTGAACTACATTCTCAGTCTTTTTTATTTATTTACTTTTTATTTGAGACAGGATTTCACTAAATTGCTGAGATGACAGGCGTGCACTATCACACCTGGCTTTGCTTTCTTTTAATTATTGTTTCAGTCACTGCTTCTCTGTGTAGAAGAATGTTTTACTAAGTATAGCACAGTGTTTGTATTTGGAGCTTGGAAATGGAGAAAAGCAAAGCTTTTTCTTTAAAAAATTTTTCCTCTATTTTACTTTCATTTTTTTTTTTTAATATTTATTTATTTATTTTAGTTTTTGGTGGACACAACATCTTTGTTTGTATGTGGTGCTGAGGATCGAACCCAGGCCGCACGCATGCCAGGCGAGCGCACTACCGCTTGAGCCACATCCCCAGCCCTTACTTTCATTTTTATATGGAAAAACAAACCAGAAAGCCAAGAAGAAATTTTCAAGTGTGTTGCATTGCTCTAGAAATTCTGAAGAATAAATGGTGTTGATTTGGACCTTTGGCATTATCAGCACTAGTCTGTTCCCCTCTCTGTGGAATGCAGTTTAAGAAGAGCATACTGCAGTGGCATACACCTATAATCCCAGCACCTTGGGAGGCTGAGACAGGAGAATCATGAGTTCAAAGCCAGCCTCAGCAAAAGTGAGGCTCTAAACAACTCAGTGAGACCCTGTCTGTACATAAAATACAAAATAGGGCTGGGGATGTGGTTTGGTGGTTGAGTGCCCCTTGGTTCAACCCCAGGTAAACCCTGCCCTCCACCCGCCCCAAAAAGAAAAGAAGAACATATTGTTGTCCTGCACATCCTGAACATAAAAGAAAAAATATATTAGGTGTTTCCCAAGTATTATTGCAATGAATCCCTACAGTAGCCCTGTGAGATATGACTCTTAATAATCCCATTTTTGGGGCTGGGATTGTGGCACAGCAATAGAGTGCTCACCTAGCACAGGCAGGGCCTGGGTTCGATCCTCAGCACCAAATAAAAATAAAGGTATTGTGTTGTGTCCATCTACACCTAAAAAAATAAATATTTTTTTAAAAAAAAATCCCATTATGAAAGAGGAAATAAAATCTTAGAGACATTGCATTTCATTAAGTAATAATGAATTTGAATTTGGGTATTTCTGACTCTAGGGTCTATGCTTCTAACCATTTTATCTAAACTGACTTTCATATGCCATGCTACTTCTCAGATAGATTTCACACTATTTCTGGCGTTATAGTAGTCTCCTAGTTAAGTATTAGTAGATCATTCACAGATGGTTTATGTCCTCAGTCAATTTTTTTCACCAGCCTAATGTCAGATATCAAGCCTATCCTGATTCCACCTCTGTTTTCCTATCCAAGGTGGCCCAGTGCAACTTTTTGCACCATTCGTTTTTGTTATTGCCTCCTTTCCCTACCAGTGCAGTCTGGTTTTGGCTGACTCAAAAAAAAGTGTTGATACATTAGATGTTTCTTGATTTAATGTTTCAAGTAAAACTTTATATAATAGAAAGGAGCTGATGAACATGTTTTCATGTTTTATTTTCTTCTAAGTATTCTCTTTTCTTGCATTTTTCTTTGAATCTTCTAAGTAATTTTTGAAAAGACAATGTACATAAAAATGCCAAGTAACATAAATAGTTCTTAACAATTGTTAGTTCACCTCCCTAAACCCGCCCTTGACTAGTAACTGCTTTTTTTGAGCCCCCTGTAAAAGCTAATGCAAGATCACAAATTTTCTATGAGCCCCCTGAAAAAATTAATGCAAGATCACAAATTTGATTCTTTTTTTAAATATTTTTTTAGTTATTGATGGGCCTTTATTTTATTTATTTATATTCACTGCTGCAAACCAAACCTAGTCTCCTGCATGCTAAGCAAGTGCTTTACTACTGAGGTACAACTCCAGCCCCCCACAAATTTAATTCTTTATTTCTAAGATCATATTTTACCACCAAAAACAGAAAGAGGATTATAAAGTTAGTGACAGTTGCAGTCATTATTAGGGAAAATCTTTGGGCTTCTGATTTTTTTTGCAAGGGAGGTGGTACCAGGGACTGAACTCAGGAGCACTCAGCCACTGAGCCACATCCTGAGCCCTATTTTGTGTTTTATTTAGAGACAGGATCTCACTGAGTTGTTTAGCACCTCACTGTTGCTGAGGCTGGCTTTGAACTCATGATCCTCCTATCACAGCCTCCCAAGCTGCTGGGATTACAGGCGTGCACCACCACACCTGGCTGGGCTTCTGATTTTTAAATAATTCTCTTTATGCATTCTTTCTCATACTTTTAATTAGAAGGGACATTCAGGGGCCTTGGCTATAGCTCTGTGGGAGAGGGTATGTTTAGTGTGTACTAGGCACTAGGTTCAATACATCAGCACTAAAAAAAAGTAAGAGGAGGCATTCAGAATTTAGTCAAACCTGTCCTTTAGAGTCTCTACTTGGTTATCATCTAAAAAAAAGCAGTTACTAGTCAAGGGTGGGTTTAGGGAGGTGAACTAACAATTGTTAAGAACTATTTGTTACTTGGCATTTTTATGTACATTGTCTTTTCAAAAATTACTTAGAAGATTCAAAGAAAAATGCAAGAAAAGAGAATACTTAGAGGAACATAATGAAAAGTAAATAAAAACCCCATCATATATATATCTGTAGGATTTACAAGACCAGCTAGAGGATATGATGGAAGATGCAAATGAAATTCAAGAAGCACTAAGTCGTAGCTACGGCACCCCAGAATTAGATGAAGATGACCTGGAAGCAGGTAAGTTATAAGACAAGCAATGTATATATAGCTTTAGAGTCTGAAAGGAACAACTTCCTGGAATCTCTCTCCAAATACTAGTAAAAATTTCTATCTGGATTCTCTAAGAGTTAGTCTCTGGGCAAAGAACTTATGAGGCACCTGCATCAGACTTGCATACTCCACCAGCAACACTGGTGAGACTGAAGAAAAGTTCAGCAAAAGCCGACATGGTACAACTATCAGTGTCCTCAGCTTAACCTTTCCTTGCTATTTTCATTTTAATTTTTCTTCTCCCTATTTTCCTACTTGGAATCGACTCCCTTGGAATAGCAAAGTAAATTAAGAACTAATAGTTGGCAAATACTTAGTGAGCATCTACCATGTGTCAGGCACTGGACTAGGTGCTAGGGATTCAGTATTGAAGAAAACAAATATGATCTCTCCATTCATGAAGCTTCTCCACTAACACTGGGAGAAATATAAACTGCCTGCTTCAAGTAATCAATTAGTTATAAGGGCACACACTATTAGGAAGAAGGAGATACTGTGGGAGCATGTAGCATGCTTACTAGTTAGGGATAGACATGGGACTTAAAAAATGAGAAGAGGTTTTAGCACAAAAAAGTGGGAAGGATTATTGAGTGCCTTTAGGGGGAAAAGTCTAGAAGCTATCATTATAATTGTGTGAAAGATGAAACTAGGTAGATTAAAGAACCACTATATACTAGATTTTCTATGGCATGATTTCCCTGTCATGTTACTGTTTTGTTTTGTTTTTTCTCTCTCTCTCCATGTTCTATTTTTGCCTAGATCCTTTTTCTTTCTTGCATTCATCCCTGCCCCCCGCCCCCCCCCCCTTGATTTTCCGCTGATGAGTACCTACTATTGTCATTCTTTCTGGCTAGCCAGGCATAGAGGCGCATACCTGTAATCCCTGCAACTCATGAGGATCTCAAGTTTAAAGCCATTCTAAGCAGCTTAGTGAGGCAATAAAGCAATTAGTGAGACCCTGTCTCAAATTTTAAAAAATATAAAGGTCTGGGGATGGGCTCAGTGGTTAAGCACCCCCAGGTTCAGTCCCTAGTTTCCAAAAAAAAATCTCCTATTTCCAATTCTTTCACCATAGACAGTTCTAGACCCTGATTTCGTATAATGGTCACACAATATACAACAATCTTATGCCTCCTTTCACTACTTTCTTTTCAAGTCCAACAATTAATGAGAGAGAAATTTTTAAAAAGTAAATAAAAGGGCTGGGGGCCAGGCACAGTGGTGCACACCTGTAATCCCAGTGGCTTGGGAGGATGAAGCAAGAGGATCACAAGTTCAAAGTCAGTTTCAGCAAAAGTGAGGCACTGAACAACTCGGTGAGACCCTGTCTCTAAATAAAATACAATATAGGGCTGGGGATCTGGCTCAGTAGTTGAATGCCCCTGAGTTCAATCCCTGGTACACCCGCAAAAAGCGGGGTGAGGTGGGTACTGGGTATGTAGCGCAATGGTAAAGTGCGTCTGGGTTCAATCTCCAGTACCCCCCCCCCCCTAAAAAAGGGAAACCCTACAAGTTTGTGGAGAAATGGTTGTTTTATTTTTTCCTTTTTGCTTTTCATAGATTTTACCATATTAGTTTCCCTGAAAGTTTCTTGTAATCTTCATCTTTTATTTTGTATTCTTGAATTTTAGGATTTGCGGGGGCGAGGAGTAATCCTTTTCCCTTTGTATTTAAATTTTCATGTTATTGCAAATCATTTCACTAAATTTTAAGCAGCTGTCAATTTTCTTACTTTTTTTTTGAAATGTTGACTATTTTAATTTCAGAGTTGGATGCACTGGGTGATGAGCTTCTGGCTGATGAAGATAGTTCTTACTTGGATGAAGCAGCATCTGCACCTGCAATTCCAGAGGGTGTTCCCACTGACACAAAAAACAAGGTGAAATCCTTTTCTGCTTATATTTCTATACAACATAGAAAAGGTTTTATGCCCACCAGTCTGGGAATACGAAAGGTAGTCTTAAGTTAGAACAAGAAAAGAAAGTCCCAGTCATTATTTTGGGAACCCTTGAAAGCTCAGTTTTCCTACTTAAGACAACATACAGGCTGCAAAATAGTGCCAGTGAGACCAGAAGTGTCTCTATACAGAGACAATTTCTTTTTTTTTTTTAATATTTATTTTTTAATTGTAGATGTTTTTTATGTGGTGCTGAGGATTGAACCCAGTGCCTCACATGTGCTAGGCGAGCACACTACCACTAAACCACAACCCCAGCCCCAGAGACAATTTCTATAATGCACATAATCACTCTTGTTGTGAGCTAGCACTGGGTACCATTTATAGATTCTAGACTTTTTTGTTTGTGTGTGGTGCTGGGGACTGAACCCAGAGCCTTGCCCATGCTAGGTAAATGTTCTCTCTACTACTGAGTTACATGCCCAACTCAGTTTGTTTTTTAGTTTTGTGGTTCTGGAGATCAAACCCAGAGCCTTGTTGATGCTAAGCAAGTGCCCTGTCACTGAGCTACACTCACATCTCCAATCCAGATTCTAAACTTTTCCTGATAACTTAGCAGCAGCACTTGCATGAGCCTTGCTAGGCAGCAGTGTAAAAGAAAGTCCCTCTCTCCAGAAACACTAGTTAGTTATTGAGTGGAATTTTTAAACAAGAGGTTAATAATTTTAAGTATAAAACTTAGTGTAAGCTGAATGTGGCAGTGCATACCTATAACCCAGCTAACTACTCAGGAAGCTGAGGCAGGATTGTGAGTTCAAGGGCCAGCCTGAGCAGCATAGCAGGAATAATTCAAAAGAATAATGCTGAAAGATTCTAATTCAACAAGGTGGAAAAAATCAGGCTATCTGGAAGAATGACAGATCTTTTAGCTGTCTTGAGCTTATCTGTTTCTTGCATGTGTAAGATGAAGATAATTGCAAACACTTCACAAAATTATTGTGCAGAAAAATTTAAATATTGTATATAAAGGATTTTGCAAACTTAAAGCCCTGTCTAAATCTACATGGTTGGCATTATTATAAGCATATTATTTTACTGCTTATGAAATCTTATATACTCCATCTTAGTTTCTAACGTTATGTGTTATAATTTTTGTTGCCACTGGACATTTATAGCTCTCGTATTTGATCCCCCAATACACACATTGAATACACAAGCAATTGATAAAATATTTGAATAGGAGCCAGTCCTAGGTCTGCCTTTATTCACTGTGCGATTTTAAGCAAATTAGAAATTCATGTCTTCTCTAGGAACCTCATCATGTTTTCCACTTGTAATAGTGGGGAGCAAAGGGTGGGGAGCAGGTAATTTCCTATGTCCCTTATAGCTGGTTTCTGTGACTGTCCATCTTTCCCAGTTGTACTCCTCCTTTCTCCCTGAGGGAGTCTTACCTATCTCTACTGCCCACCCCATTCAACCCTAACCCACACCCACCTCTTTGGCCACTCTAAGGTTCCAGGTGCATAGGTTTCTTTTTTTCAGCATTCCTAAAATAGTTTGTTGTTGTTGTTTGTAGTATAGGCATCAAACCCAGGACCTCACAGGTGCTAGGCAGGCACTCCTACCACTGAGCTGTACCCCTGCCTGAAATAATCTTTGTGAATGCTACCTTAGCCCACCTTTTTAATTCAGTAGTTACAAGTCATCTATCTTATTTCCACTTTTAGAAGGTCAGATTCCGAAGTTAAATGTGCTGTGGGGTAGGGTTTCTTACATGATAAGGTATCTCTGCCTGTGATTTTGTAGTAAAGTATGGTATGGAAGTGACTGCTTGTCTGTGTAAGGGCATTGCCCATTCAAGAATATGGGAGGCCAAAAGTATTGATTCACTTTAGAGATCAGAGTGAAAATTCAAATCTAGAGACAAGGACTGACTCCTCAGCCTTTCCTCCTGACATTTCCAACCCCCCTTTCTCCTGTTTTGATATTTTTTGTTTTGTTTTGTTTTTTGAGATGGGGTCTTGCTTTGTTGCCCAAGCTAGTCTAGAACTTGTGGGCTCAAGTTGTCTTGCCTAAGCCTTTGGAGTAGCTGCAACTACAAGTGCACACCACTGGACCTAGCCCCTTTTTCTATTTTTAGATTTATTCTTATATTTACCTTTCTTCCTCTTACATGATTCCTATACCCTATAAAGGATTATCCCTTTAGATCCTTTCTAATTCTTTTCCTGGAGCCCATCACAGTGGCACACGCCTGCAATCTCAGCAGCTTAGGAGGCTGAGGCAGGAGGATTGTGAGTCCAAAACTAGCCTCAGCAACTCAGTGAGACCCTGTCTCTAAATAAAAATATTAAAAAGGGCTGGGATGTGGCTCAATGGTTAAGTGTCCCTGGGTTCAATCCCCAGAAAAACAAAAACAAAAAAACTTTACCTAGTTCATCATGCCCTCCCAATCCCTGCCTTAAAACCTCATAAAAAATTTCATTATTGGCTTCTAAGTGGGATTTTGGTTTTGATTGATTAAATGCTTAGAAAGGAGTTTTGGCTACTTAGTGTTTATAATCATTTTTATCAAGTGAAAAATAGTGGCACTAAACCTTGATTCTTTTTCACAGGATGGAGTCCTGGTGGATGAATTTGGATTGCCACAGATACCTGCTTCATAGACTTTCATCATTCAAGTACACATGTAAAATAAACACATATTGTGGGACTAGGAAATATATCCAGATTTTCCATAACAGATTTAAGTTCCTTTCCCTTCTTTGAAGGAAAGGTTAATTACACTGCTCTTTTATTTTTTTTCCGTTAAGAAATTCATTGTTTGGGGAAGCTTTCTTACACTAAAATTTGATTCTTTTTCTCTTATGAAAGATTAACTTAAAAGTATCTTTGGCTTTTGTATGACTCATTTTCACTCATTAATAACAATTTGAAATAAAACCAAGGATATAAAATCTTAAATTTTGTGACAGTATAACTCGACAGTCTCAATATGACCTGATAAATTGATGAAGTGAAGATGAGATTATTGAGACTGTTCATATTATGATTCAAAACCATTTTCTATTGTGGCATATAGGTGGCTCAAAGTAATGGCTCTTTTGATAGGTTTTGTTGTGTCTTGTGAGCAAATCATGTGTCTAGTGTTGGAATGGAATTGTTGCTACAGTATCACAAGTGGATATTTTGACTTTGTCGTTCCCTCAGTATTACAGCCTGACTTGTAATCAATAATGAATATTTCTTGATATTTAATGTATAGGACATTTATTTATACTCAATAAATATTTTTCAAAAGGATATAATTTCAATATCACTTCAGCCTAAGGGCTCCACTACAGAAACCAAATTTAATCAATAGCATTGTGGTACAGAGATAAGAGCAATGGCCGTGGGTATACTATCTGCTACCTACTAAGTCTACTTGACTTCTGTAAATTTCTATTTCCTTATTAGTAAAATTGTGCTTAATTGAGATAATGGTCATAACTACTCTGTTAACTGCAGTGTGCTATATTCTCATATGAGGGATTATTAATAATTAAAAAAAAGTGGGGGCTTCATTCTTTTCTTACAGGGTGCCTGGAGTGCTATGGCAAGTCCAAATCCTGCCTGATTTTAGAGTCTTTAACAATCCTTCCTCACTCAACCTCTCACCAACAGCATTTCCCCTCTAGTATGACTGGGTACACAGTGCCATGTGTACCAATCTTTTACATGTCTGTAGATCAAACTAATAAACATTTATTGAACACTAGTTCTATAGAAATCTCTATGCCAGCACAAGTAATACTAAAACCAGTCAGTACCTCTCTTCAAAAGTTCACTGTTAGTTATAGGTAGGGACAAAACATTTATGTAACTCTCCTACTCCCACTGATCTCACACTCTTAAGAAGTCTCCACTGGGAGCAAACATTACAATATTCATTATTACTTTCTTGAGATCTTTCTTGGCTTCTCTGAGTTCTCCTCTGGACACTTATTCTCTTCAATGGACTTCTCTTTCTCAGCCCCTTAAATATTTCTTCCATTATAATTCCAATCTATACTTGTTAAGAATGTCGGGATGCCAAAGAAATCAGACATGTACCCAAAAATTAGTTAGCAAGGTAAATTTTACTTCTGCAGAAGGTGTGCTACCAAAATTTCTGACAAACAAGCACACGAGGCAAGAAGTCTGCCTAGGTTATTATCCCTAATGCAGCACTGCCTCTTGATCTGATAGGAGGTTGGAGTTATAATCTACATGATTGACTAATTTTTAATTGGGGAGGGGAAGGGGAAAGGCTATAGTTATGATTGGATCACCTACTATACTAGAGGCATTGTAATCTGAAGACAAAGGACAAAGGGAAATTTGATGGCAGGGCTCAAAATGGCTACATTTCAATCACATTTTAGATTACTGCCAACACATTTTTGTTACATATTAGGAAACTCAGACTTTAGGTTTAACTTTGACATAAAAGAATATCAATCTTAAATACTCTTTGAGAATTTTCACCTAGATTTCAACTATAACTGTCACTAACCTTGATTTCTTACTTTCGATTCTGGGCTTGTTCATTTAAATCCTCCACACTACCTAAAATCTAACAGCCAAATTAAGCTCATTGTCTTAGGGTTCACTCTTAGAAAACATTCCTCCTTTATTCCTTGTCATGCTTATGTTAGCCAAATCCCATTGTCTTAATCTGTTTTCTGCTATAACAAGATACCACAGACTGGATAAAATTATAAACAATAGAAGTTTGTTTTGACTCACAGTTCCAGAGGCTAGGAATTCCAAGATCCAGGGAGTGGATCTGGTGAGGGCCTTCTTGCTGCATCATAACATGGAGGAAAGCATTACATGGCAAGAGCATGAGAGAGAGAGAGAGTAAACAGAAGGGCAAACTACCAAACCACTCCCATCATAACAGACTTAATTCATTCATGAAGGCAAAGCTCTGGTGGCTTAATAAACCTTTAAAGGTCCCACGCTTAGTACTGTTAAAATGACAAACTAGATTTCTACCTGAATTTCAAGGGAAGACATTCAAATCATAGTACCCATATATTGGTTGATATTTGATTCTCCAGCTATACTACATTAGTCTTAAAGGGAGCAATCATTCTACCTAAAAATTTTCATTTTATTGGCTTTTGGTACCTGCCACCCTTTGGTACTAGGGATTGAACCCAGAGGGTCTCTGAGCCCCACTCCCAGCCCTTTTTAAAAAATTTTATTTTAAGAGCAGGTCTTGCTAAGCTGCTGAGGCTATCCTCCTTGCAATCCTCCTGCTTCAGCCTCCTCAGATGCTGGAATTGCAAGTAGGCACCACTGCACCTGGCTGTTACCTGTTAATCATTAGAAAGCAGAATTGAATGCAGATAGTCTCGGGTTTTAATTTGTCAGCCCTGAGTTTAGTAGAAGTGGGGCAGTAAACTGGAATGATATGTGAAAGTGTGGCACTTCTACTTCTATCACCCATATTTTTTAGTTTTCCTCTCCAGTCCTCATTAGTTTTTTTGTTCAAGACAGGGTTTCATTGAGTTGCCTAGGTTGGCCTCTACCTTGCTCCTGCCTCAGCCTTCTGTGTTGGGATTATAGGCATATACTACTATGCCTGCTGATATAGTAAATCCAGATATAGTATGGATACTTGGATTTTTAAAAGCTCCTCAGGTAGGTAGGCCTTAAAGTAGCCAAAGTTGAGGGGGGGAAAAAAAAAGTTAAAGTAGCACCCAATGCCCTAGGGTGCCTGACCAGTCTGAATCTATTTTTCATGGACAGTCTGAACTATTAACATCCATTTCTGCAGCTTAGAGATAGGCAATGATTGCCCTAAGGCAGAGGTGTTTCATCTGTGGAATTAGTTGGGAAGTATCCCCCCCCCCTTCTATTTTTTGAAAGAATTTGTGAAGGATTGATTGATGTTCACTCTTTGAACAAATGATAGAATTCACCAATGCTTAAGCCATCTGGGCTTGGGCTTATTCTTTTGGGGAAGTTTTTTGGTTTCTAATTCTCTCTCTAGTTATTCTTGGTCTATGCAGGTTTTCTATTTGTTCTTGAATCAGTTTTAGTAATTGTTCACTTCATCAAAGTAATTTGTTGGCATAAGATTTTTGTGGTATTTCCTTTTGATTCTTTAAGATTGGCAGTAATGCCCCCTCTTCCATCGCTATTTTTAGAAATTCAAATCTTTTTTTCCCCCCTTAGGTTAGCTAAAAGTTTTTCCATTTTGTCGTTTTTGTTCAGTGAACTGCATTGTTAATTTTTCTCCACTAATTTCTAGTTTAATATTTATTACTGTGCTCACTTTCATTTAGTTTGCTTTCTTTTTATAGTTTCTTAAGGTGGAAAGTTAGGGAACTGATTTGAGACACCGTGGCTATGCTTTTAATTTCTGGAAATGACAGGCAAAACAAAACTAAAATCTTATTTTAAAATTTTGCATTCCTCTACCATCAGTGAAGGCTTTTCATAATTATTGCCCACTTGTTTTCCCATTAATTACTTTTAGAACACTTTATCCAAGCTGATTGGTAAAACGCCACCACAGAACATCTTCACACATTCATTTAAAAACTTATCCTTTAAAAGTTATTAGTTAACTTTCTCCCTTGTTTGGTGTCCATCTCTATTTGTCGCTTGCCCGTTCAAGTTCTTTACTATTTTGAATATATGATTTGACTTTTCCTAACAGATTTGTAGGAATTCTTTATCAGTCCTTTACCATTTGTTTTTCATACTTTGCCTCTAGATTACTATTGGAGTATGTAAGTGATTTTTTTTCTCAGTATTGGGGATCTAACCCGGGGTCTAAGCAAGCATTCTTAACAGTGAGTTACTACATCCCCGGCCCTTAAAAAAAAAAAAAAAAAAACTGACACGGTCTCCCTAAATTGTCCGGGATGGCCTCGAATTTCCCATCCGGTCTTTAACTCTGGAGCAGCTGGAATTACAGGAGGGCGCCACAGGGCCTGATTAGGTGTTTTTTATTGTTGTTGTTTAACTCCAAGCTTAAACTATTCTGGAAAGGTGAGGTCTAAGCTGACTCCTGAAGACTCCTGGGTGGCGGGGCAAAAGGGCGTCATAGCTGGAAAACACAAAGCATCGCAAAAAGAAAAACAAGATTACGCAAGTCCCTGCCCTTCCTCCTACAATCTTTTGCCACCTCTCCTTGCCACCAGCTGCACGCCTCCTTCCGTCTGGCGCGTCGGTCTGACGTCACGAACTCGAGTCGTTCGATTCAGGCCGCGCAATCTCCGTGGCAGTGTACCTGGCGCGCTGATGCGAATCGTCGTGCGGCGCCGGAAGTCATGGGCACGTGACCGGGTGACAGCGCTCTCTTGGCTGCGGGCTCGCTTTAGGTGCTGCGGCACGGGATGGCGGAGGCGCCTCCTGTCTCAGGTACTGTCCTGTCCCGCGCGGGACTGGGCCCTTCTCAGTGAAGGGCAGTTTGGTCAATGACTAAGTGCTAGGGCTCCGGCAATTTATATCGCGAGAGTGGCTCTTGCTAGAGTTGGGAATAGTGGCTCGGAAGGGCCAAGCCGCGCTCGTCGCGCAAACGGAGACCTCCAGCATCTTCAACTGGGTGGTGAAGCCCGGCATCTGGGTTTCCGAGGAGATCGGGCTTGTTCTGGCGCCCAGTGAATCGATGCGGGTGTCCCGCTGTCCCACGGGGCTTATATCGGCCATCTAGAGTACATCTGGCTCACCTTTGAACGGCGGGCGTCGGCCAAGTTGCCGCCAGTGCCTGGCGGGCTCTCGGTTCCATCGGGTGTGCGCGCTGTGCTTGGGGTGTATGCACACCTCTTGGAGTGGCGGCGCGCGCGCCAGCCGAACACCAGTGGTGATCAAGTCTCAGTTTCCTTATCTGTCAGATTAAATAAGTTATTAACTGTAAAAGCTCTCGCACTGAACTGTGTCTGTTAGCTCACTTCCCTTCATGGAGTTGCCTCTGTAGACCGCCTTATTTGACTGTTAGTATAACGTCCATTTTCATTTCCTTCAGTGTGTACGGTAGATTCGTGGCTTCCAAACTTTGTGGACAGGGACCAAAAATAATTTTGTATCACAAGCTTATTTCAAGAACGTGAAAGTGAAGTAAATATTTCCAGGAGCAATGTTTTCCTTTACTATCAGTGATATACTCTCTTTTCTTCCGTGTGTGTGTGTGTGTGTGTGTGTGTGTGTGTTTAAACCCCGGGCCTCACGCATGATAGGCAAGCACTCTACCACTCAGCTACATGCCCAGCTCTTTTTAAAAATCTTAGGACAGGGTCTTGCTAAGTTACCCAGACCAGAGTCAAATTTTCTGTCCTCTTGCCTCAGCCTCCCCAAGTAGCTACAGTTACACTGTAGCATCTGGCTTGTGTATCACTTTTAAAAGTAGTTGTCACTACCCACTATATTGATTTAATAGGGTTTTTTGTTTTGATTTGTTGTTGTTTTGGTAGGTGTATTCCGTTATGCCTGGCTGCTACATGATTTGGTTTCTGATTTCATGACCCACTGTTTCTGAAAAACAAGGCAACAATTTCCAGCATTTGTTGGTTTGAATCTTAGCTCTAACACAGAACTAAGATTTAAGATCTTATTGGGGCACCAATAAGATTATGTATGTATTTGTGTACTAGATAGCAGATAAAATATTTATTACTGTGGCCTCAATTTTAAAAATTGGGAAAAAAAAAAAAAAACACTACATTGGTGTAAATAGTCCCGACTTGGGTATTAATTAATCTTGGGGAGAGAGGTTTTTTTTTTGTTTGTTTGTTTGTTTGTTTTTTGGTACCAGGGATTGAATCCAGGGGCACTTAACCCCTGAGCCACATCCCCTGCCCTTTTTATTTTTTATTTAGAGACAGGGTTTTACTAAGTTGCGGAGGCTGGTTTTGAGCTCATGATCCTCCTGCCTCAGTCTCTTGAGCCACTGGGACTACAGGTATGCATCACTGTGCCCAGTGAAAATCTTATTTTGTGTAAATGGTACTGAAGATTGAACCCAGGGGTGCTCTATGACTGAGCTACATCTCCAGCACTTTTTGTTTTTTATGTTGAGATAGGATCTTGCTAAAGTGCCAAGGATGGCCTCAAACTTGTGATCCTCCTGCCTCAGCCCCCCAAATAACTGGGATTACAGTCATGCACACCATGCCCAACAGGGATATGAAAAAGCTTTTTAGGTTGATATTTTTGCTATTTTCCCCAATTAGTCCTTCACCAGACCCTCTAAACTGGATCTGTTGGTCTTCCCATCCTCAGGCTCACTTATTTCTATATCTTTCAGTGTTTAAAGTGGAAAGGGTAAATAAAGGCTAGTTGTAAGACATAGTTGTTGGCCTCTGGTGTGGGCTCCAAGTTACCACCTCCACCTGATAAATGCATTTACTGAGTCCCATAGTTCAAAGACCTCTCTACTTTTGTGATTCTTTGTTTTTGTTTTAGTTCCCTATTCCATTTTCTTATTTTAGCATCATCTCTATTTTACAACCTCCCTCTCCATTTAAGGTCCTTAAATGGTAGCCTAATTCAGGAGGAATCTTTTTTTCATGGGTAGACTTTCCATGTCAGCTTTGTCCCTGGACTTTATAGTCTGCCAGTTGGCTTTGCCCTTATTCTGCTCTGATCACCTGTTGAACACCTACCATGATGCTGTGTTATCTTGGATCTTGATACCACTTACTTCTGTAAGAGCCATGTCTGGATGAGGAGACATCACAGTTATTGAGTAACTTTCACTTACTTAAATAGTGAAAGGAGTCTCTCTGATGTTTGCTATGGTCCAGTTTCCTGACTCATGTATCTCTTTTCCCTTCCTCGTGTCTCTTAAGTGTCTTTCTGAGGGCTTTGCCTTATACTTAATGTCTAATGGAATATAAACTGTATGAATAGGTGCAGTCCTGTCTGGATTGATTGATTCCTGCTCAAAAGTCTATTCTGGACAACTTCACTGACCTTATTTCTGCCCCTCTTTTCAGCCTTCCTTTTTTTTTTTTTTTTTTTTTTTAATATTTATTTCTTAGGTGTAGATGGACTCAACACAATGCCTTTATTTTTATGTGGTGCTGAGGATCGAACTCAGGTCCCGCCGGTGCTAGGCAAGCACTCTACGGCTGAGCCACAATCCCAGCCCCTCAGCCTTGCTTTTTTTAAGCAGGAAAACTGACATCTTGGTCCAGTTTACCAATCCTTATCTTTAATTTGTATCTTATGTCTCTAGAAAATCTCTACCACCTTCTGAATTTATCTAATCCTCATGCCATTTTGTGCAGCCTTACACTCCACCCCTAGAATTCTGCCTATGTGGAAGTGTTCAGTAGAAATCTGGGATTAAGTGAGAGGTTACTTTATGACTTTTATGAACTCATTTAGTTCTTCACTATGTTTCTCTGGTCTCTGGTGCCACACATCCTGAGCTAGAATCCTGAGTCTGCATTGGAATACCTCTGTGTCTTTAGGCAAGTTACTCTCTCTGTGCATTAGTTTTCTCATCTAGAATGTATAAAGATTAACTGAGTTAACACATGTAAAAGACTTAGAATAGTGCCCAGCACATATTAAGTACCTAACAAATGTTAGGCCATATTATTAAACCTGCACCGTATCCATCTGCACTTGACTGTATATGTTTCAGGTAGTCCATAGTCTGTATTCCTAACAGCAAGAATAAAGACCGTTGTAACTACTTTATACATGTCATTAACTTGCTTTACTCTTTTTTTCCACATTTTTTAATTGGTGCACCATAGTTGTACACAATGATGATATTTATTGTTACATCCATGCATACAATGTAACAATATAATTTGACCAACATTACTCCCTAGTACTTCCCTCCTCCCTTCCCTCTTCCCACCCTTGCTTTACTCTTTATAGGAACTCTTTTTGTTGTAGGGATTGTTTCCATCTGCATTACATAGAAGAAAACTTACATTAAAGCACAGTAGGTGATAGGGACTTAAATCCATGTCTTTCAGACTCTGTTGACTCGGAGCATATTTTATATGTTTCCAACTGGTTTTGTGTTGTTAGGCTAATCATTTCTTCTTTAGGGCTTTAGGGACTGAGTTTACTATCCTAAAATCATTCTAGAGCCAGGTATGATGGCACATACCTGTAATCCCAGCTCCTCAAGAGCCTGAAGCAGGAGGTTCACAAGTTTAAGGCCAGCCTCTGCACCTCTGCCCCACCCTGTCAAAGTAAAAATTTTAAAGGGGCTTGGGATGTAGCTTAGTGGTAAAGTATGCCTGGATCAGTCCCCAGTACCAAAAAGAAAGAGGAAAAAAAAATTGTTTTAGAGGAGCAAAGTGAGTGAGTTTAAGGGACATATGATCAACTCTTTTTTTTTTTTTTTTGGTGTGTGTGTGTGTGTGTGTTGCTGGGGATTGAATCCAGGGCCTTGTGCATGTAAGGCAGGCACTCTACCAACTGAGCTATATCCCCAGCCTCTGTATTTTTTTTAAAAAATTTTTTTAAAAATATTTATTTTTTAGTTGGACACAATATTTTATTTATTTATTTTTATATGGTGCTGAGGATCAAACTCAGAGCCTCGCACATGCTAGGCAAGCGCTCTACCACTGAGCCACAACCCCAGCCCTGTATGATCTATTTTGAGACTGGAACTCTAGAGCATATTATGGGTGTTGTTATGGAAAATCAAAAATATATTCCTGGGAAAAGAGATGGAAAGTAATGCTTACTATGCTAATATTTTCTGTGTGAAATCTTATTTAAAATATTTTTAAAATTATCTCAAATAATCCTTTAAAAAAACTCTTATCTTATAGATGTGGAAACTGAGGCTAGTGGTGTTCAAATGATATCTCTAACCTCATAACATAAATTGGAGAGTGTTTAAACCTGTTTCAGCTGACTTCAAAGTTTGTTTACTTAGTATTGCACAATGCTACTTTAGAGTTTGGAAAGACGCTGGTGACTGATGGCTCATTCCTGTACTGTTAACTGACCTTTAATATTTTGATAAAATAAATGCATGTGTACATCATGCCTGATGGCCCAGATGAGCATTTTTACTCAGCAGCTCTTAGCTGTTATGGCTCTATAACCAGTGGATAAGGGATAATGTATCCTCTACAAGAACCTTGATGCCTGGGGCTATAGCTCAGTTGGTAGAGTGCTCGCCTTTCATGTACAAGGTCCTACATTTGATCCCCAGCACCAAAAAAAAAAAAAAAAGCTTTGAACCTATCACATCAGCTTCACAGGTCTAAGAGTTTGGTTTTTTTTTTTTTTTTTTTTTAAGAGAGAGAGAATTTTTTTAATTTTTTTTTTTAGTTATCGGCGGATACAACATCTTTGTTGGTATGTGGTGCTGAGGATCGAACCCGGGCCGCACGCATGCCAGATGAGCGCACTACGACTTGAGCCACATCTCCAGCCTGTTTTTTTGTTTTTCTTTTTAATATTTTTATTAGTGGTTGATGGATCTTTAATTAATCTATTTATTTATTTATTTGTATGTGGCGCTGAGGATCGAACCCAGTGCCTCACACGTGCTACACAAGCACTCTACCACTGAGCCACAACCCTAGCCCTAAGGGTTTATTTTGTACAATGGCCTTAGGAAAATTATTTTTAGATATGGTTTGGTCTTATAGGGTAACACATTCATTTCCTTACTGGCATGTCTATTTCTTATGTCCTAGGTACTTTTAAATTGAATACAGAAGCCACTGAATTCATTCCTCAGGAGAGAAAAAATTCTGGTCTAAATTGTGGGACTCAAAGAAGATCAGACTCCAATAGGATTGGCAGAAGAAATTATAGTTCGTCACCTCCCTGTCACATTTCTAGGCAGATTCCTTATGATGACATCACTGTTGTTCATCAGCACAGTTATCCTTCAGGAAGTAAACCGAAGAGTCAACAGACTTTTTTCCAGTCTTCTACTTCTAATAAGTCACTCAAGAACCATAACCTTCAGAGTCAGCCTTGGCAAAAATTAAAGCATGAAAAACATCACATCAGAGTCAAGAAAATACAAGGGCTCAGTTACCAGAGCTCAGATACAATTAGCTTAGAAAGTGTGGCCAGGCCAGAGAGTGGGACAAACCTCAGTGAGTATAGCCCTTCTGAGAGTGAGAAGGAAATTGTTGGTGCAGATCCCAGGGGAGCAAAACCGAAAAAGTCAGCTCAATTTGTATACAGTTATGGTAGAGGATCAAAAGTCAAGGGGAAACTAAAGTGTGAATGGGGTAACAAAATGACTCCAAAACCTGAGGATGCTGGACTTGAAAATACCAAATCTGTGGGGGTTTGCCACCCTGACTTCTCAGATGCATCCTGTAAAAAAGGAGCACTGGATGGGTATGGAGCCAGACGAAATGAGCAAAGAAGATACCCACAGAAAAGGCCTCCGTGGGAAGTGGAAGGGGCCAGGCCACGACCAGGCCGGAATCCACCAAAACAAGAGAGCCAACGACATACAAATGCAGGGCCTAGAATCAACCTGGCTCCCATTCCAAAGGACAGTCTCAATGAAAGACCAACAAAATCAGCCTGTGACAGTGGGAATTTGGCAGTTGTCAACAAGTCTTCCAGAAGGGTTGACCAAGAGAAAAGTACTATAAGGAGACAGGATCCTCAAGTGATATCTTCTTTCTCACGAGGCAAACAGAACCATGTGTTAAAGAATGTGGAAACCCATACAGGTAAATCCACCTAGATGTGTGGAAATATATTTTTAATATTTTTTTAAGAAGATTTTTTTTGAGAGATTTTTTTTTTTTTTTTTAATATTTATTTTTCAGTTTTCGGCAGACACAACATCTTTGTATGTGGTGTTGAGGATCGAACCCGGGCCGCATGCACGCCAGGCGAGCGTGCTACTGCTTGAGCCACATCCCTAGCCCTATTTTTTAATATTTTTTTAACAAGTAATATATTCACGTAATTTAGAAAACAAAGTACAAAAAGGTACACAGTGAAAAGTATCTTAATTCATCATGTGCCTGGGTTCTGTTGCTCTTCTTCCCCACTGGTAAGCACTTAACATGGTTTTATGTATATTACAAACAAATAGAAATAAGGACTTTTTCATATAAGGAGCTTTGTAAGGGTTCTTAAAGCTGCAGATATAGATGGTGAAGATGTCTAGCTATAAGATTTTATTTTATTTTTTTTCCTGCAGTACTGGGAATTGAACCCAGGGCCTGGTGCATGCTAGGCAAGCACTGTACCTTTGAACTACATACCCAGCCCTGAAGACTTTTTGAGTTGTGAAAGCAGAAGTAGGGGATAGTAACATCCACACTCTCTCTGCAGGTTCCAGCCTGTGTCACCTAATCTGCTTCATCTTGTCTGCTCAGTTGTGATGGTTCCTATCTCACCATCTCTTAATTTCTCTCTTTCATTTCATCTCTTGCACCACCATCAGAGAGCATTTTTTTGGCAACATATTGAACTGCCTTTTCCCTGCTCGAATTTTCCATTTATTAGTTCTCATTACATACAGATTCTGGCTACTGCCTTACTCAGGCCTGTCTTCTACTACCTCAGTGTCCACCATTTCAATTTCCTGGATTCAGTACTGTTGTATCTTTCCATGCTGTTGCATGAAGCTCCTTCTGCCTAGAATTTCTACTACTCAGCTTACTGGTGATTTATTTATTTATTTGTACTGAGGATTAAAGCCATGGGTACTTAACCGCTGAGTCACTTCCCCAGTCCTTTTTTTAATTTTAAGACAAGATCTTGCAAATTGCTGAGGCTGGCCTCAAACTTGTGATCCTCCTGTGCTACTATACCCAACCTTACTGGTAAATTTTTTTTTTTTTTTTTTGTACTGGGGATTGAACTCAAGGGCACTCAACCACTGACCTCCCTGTTGCTGAGGTTGGCTTTGAACTCCCAATCCTCCTGTCTCTGCCTCCCTAGCTGCTGGAATTACAAGCGTGTGCCACCACACCCAATGTGAATTCTTATTCATGTTTCCAAAGCTTAGTTTAGTTATATTTTCAGGGAACATTTTCTCATCCCTATAGATAGCATTAATTTTTTTCAGACCTTATATGTATATCTTTCATATATATATATATGTATATGTGTGTGTGTGTGTGTGTGTGTATGTATATATATGTATATATGTAAGTATGTATGTATATATGCTTCTATTTCAGAATTTACCACTGGAAATCATAATTTGTTTATGTGTCAGTGCCTTTACTAGTCTGTAAACCCATTAAAAACAAATATTGGCCAGGCACATTGGTGCACACCTGTAATCCCAGTGACTCAGGAGGCTGCAGCAGGAGAATCACAAGTTTGAGACCAGCCTCTGTGACTTAGTGAGACTCTCTCTCAAAATAAAAAGGGATTGGGACATAGTAGTAAAGTGCCCCAGGTTCAATCCTCAGTATTGCCAAAAGAGAAAAACAGTTACTGTGTCTTTTTTTTCAGCGTTTTGGAATTCTGTCTTAACAGCTCATGGAACATAATAGCTACAAAGCTATGTAGTTCATCCTTAAATTGAACTGAAAACTTTTTTTCCTATGAATGCTGTCTGTATTTTGGTTCAAGTTCTATCCTTTATAACAGCACAGCAATCAGTATTTCTCCTCATGGTTTCCCTCCCCCTTGTTTCACAGTTGGAGACCTTTCCTTTTTCCCTGAGTGTACATCTCATCAAGGCTAAATAGTTTTATCCCATTATTATTGTGAACTTTTACCATCTTGGTCTTTTTTCAGTTTTAATGTGAGATATAGCCTAACCCATGAAGCTGCCACCTTCCTGGAGTCTGTTTTTATACTAGCCTTTATTCCTTCTAGTTGCTTGCTTCACCAGGTAGTCCTTGGGACTCAACTTTTATGTGAAGCAAAGCAGTGTTATGCCAGAGTTGTTTTATATTGTTGTTGTTTGTTTGTTTGTTTGTTTATGATAGTGTAGATTGAACCCAGAGCCTCACACATGCTAGGCCAGTGCTCTACAAGCCCTTTTTTCATTTTATTTGAGAAAGAATATTGCTAAGTTCCCGGGGCTGGCCTGGATTTGCGATCCTTTTGCCTTAGTCTCCTGAGTAGCTGGAATTATAGGTGTATGCTACTGGGATCAGGGCAATGCTGGGGATTACACCTGAGCACCTTGCACAGTCTAGGCAAGTGCTCTACCACTGAACTGCACTCCTACTAGTCTCTCAGGGTTGTTTTGAATCCTTAAGGCTGGTTAATGGGTCACTTATTGCTTTATAATGAATTATCATAAACAGTGGGTTAATATAACACAAATTTAATATGTGACAGTTGCTGTGAAGTAGGAGACTGGGTATGGGTTAGCTGGATTCTCTATTCAGGGCGTCCCAGGCTGAAATTTGGCCAGAGATGTGACCTTTGAGGATCAGGACCCTCTTTCATTCTCACTGCTGGTGATTCAGTTTCTTAAAGGTCCAAACTGAAGTCCTTTTTTTTTTTTTTTTTTTTTTTTTGGCTGGGTATTGACAAGGGATTCACTCTCAGCTCTTAGAAGCCAGTCCTAATTTTCTATTATGTGGCCTTATTTATAACATTGTAGTTAGCTTCTTTGAGGCATACAGAAAAATATATTCTATAAGTTTCAAATCATTCTGACTTCTGTCTCCTTTGTTGTTGTTAATTTGTTTTGTTTTTGGTAGTACTGGGGATTGAACCCAGGGCCTCATGCATTCTAGGCAAGTGTTATACCACTGAGCTACATCCCCGGCCCTTTTAATTTTAAGACAAGGTCTTGCCAAGTTGCCCAGGCTACTTTGAACTTAAATACTCTTGTCTTGCTCAGCCTCTATAGAGTAGCTGGGATTATGAACAAGCACCACTGCACCCAGGTGTCCACTTTTTTATTATTTTTTGGTACCAGGAATTAAACCCAGAGGTGCTTAGCCACTCAGCCACATCCTGGTTTTATTTTTTATTTTAAGACAGGGTCTTGCTGAGTTGTTGAGGCTGGCTTTAAACTTGTGATCCTCCTGCTTCAGCCTCCCAAGACGCTGGGATCATGGGCATGTGCTACCATATCCAGTACTCTCCACTCCTTTAAAAGGATTCACCTGACTAGGTCAGGCATAACCCTTCTCAAAGGGAGGTACCTTTTCAGGGTGTACACATCAAGGAGGTGGAAGTCTGGGAGCCCATCTTAGACTCCTGCTCAGTAAATCTCTCAAGGCCTTACATTCTCACAGTATTTGTTACTTCATTCATATTATTGTGTAAATACAGTCATCTCTTGGTATCCACAGATGATTGGTTCCAGGACCCCTTCCAGATACTGAAATCCATAGATACTGAAGTCCCTTATATAAAATGATGTCGCATTTTCATATGACCTAAGCATGTTCTCCCATATATTTTAAATTATTTTTAGGTTATTTATAATCCCAAACAAAATGTAAATGCTGTTTACATAGTTGTTATACTGTATTTATGGAATAATAACTAGTAAAAAAAAAGCTGTACATGTTCAGTACAGAACAGGTATTTTTAAAGAATTTAACCTTTTATTTATTTTATTTATTTGTTTTTATGTGATGCTGAGGATCGAACCCATTGTCTCATCTGTGCTAGGCAAGCACTCTATCACTGAGCTACAACCCCAGCCCATTCCAGAGCAGTTTTTAAGGGAAAAGAAAAAAAAAAAGATCAGTCTGTGGTTGTTTGAATCAGCAGATGTGCAACCCACGAATATGGAGGCCTGAGTTCCTATATACCATTCACTGTGCTAGATGCATTAAATACTGAGAATGTTTACATTGTAGTAGGGAAGACAGGCAGAATATTTAATATATCAGGTGGTGATAAAGTTTAAAAAGAAATACAAAGCAGGTTGAAGACAAAAGTGGCCGGGATGCTATTTTTTTTTTTTAATATTTATTTTTTAATTGTAGTTGGACACAATACCTTTATTTCACTTATTATTTTTATGTGGTGCTGAGGATTGAACCCCAGGTCTTGCATGTGTGAGGTGAGGGCTCTACCGATGAGCCACAACCCCAGCCCAGGATGATATGCTTTTTTTTTTTTGGTGATGCTGGTGGTTGAACCAGGAACATCTTAGGCAAGTGCTTTACCACAGAACTATATCTCCAGCCCATGAGGAAACATTTGTACAGAGACCAAAACAAAGTACAGAATCTTCTCTGTGGCCCTTTGAGGAAGAGCAAATTTAGATGGAGGGAGGGGCATTATGGTCAATAAATGCTGGTAGGAGAAACAGTCAGAGAATTAATAGGGGCTGGATCGTGTGAGGCCCTTAGTTTTGATTCTGAGTAAGTAGATGAGAATCTGCTAGGAGGTTTTGGGAGGATGGTATGCTCTTTCTAAAATAATGATCACTGGGCTGGGGTTGTGGTTCAGTGGTAGAGCACTTGCCTAGCATAAGCGCGGCCCTGGGTTCGATCCTCAGCACCACATAAAAATAAATAAATAAAATAAAGGCATTGTGTTCAATTACAAATAAAAAATAAATATTAAAAAATAAAATAAGGGGCTGGGGATGTGGCTCAAGCGGTATCGCACTTGCCTGGCATGCATGCGGCCCGAGTTCAATCCTCAGCACCACATACAAACAAAGATGTTGTGTCCGCCGAAAAATAAAAAATAAAATAATGATCACTTAGTCTGCTATATGGAGAAAAGACTAAGAAAACAACAGGGCAGATTAGTATAATATGATAGTAATTCTGAT